TCTCCGGCAGAAATATAGGCCCACAACATTAAAGATCCAGCAGTATATTTCATTGTACACATGGGTACTTTTTTATCCCTGTGTGCACCAAACCCATCTTGAGTGTTTGCTGGTAAAAAGTTAATTTTTTAGTTTCATCTGACCATTGAACCCAGTCCCGTTTAAAGTTCCAGTCATGTCTATCAAATAAATATGCTGGAGTTTGTTTTTGGATGAGTGCGTTTTCTTTTCTAGCTTTTTCTTGAAACCCTCCCAAACAACCTTGTTTTTTTTTTAGGCTTTCTGACCCCAACACTCAACTATTTTCTGCAGTTCTCCAGCTGTGATCCTTGGAGTCTCGGAGAAGTGGGCAGCCATTTTTTTCCTGCGGCGCCCGGGGTTTGGTGCCTTGCTCGAGGGCACCTCAGTCGTGGTATTGAAGGTGGGAGAGCGCGCTGTACATACACTCCCCCCACCTACAATCCCTGCCAGTACGAGACTCGAACCTTAGGCCACGACTTCCCTAAGCTGCTCCATTTAAAAAAAAAATAAAAAAAAAACACAACATGCCTGACTATTATTTCATATGTCAGTTTTTATTAGAGTTAATATAACTTTTAAGGTGCTGCTGTATTACAACTGGAGGTGGCATGTATACTGTAAAATTATCTTGGGTCAGACTAATTTAAACTCACTGTAAAGGGCACACATATCTGGCACTTCATCCCCCTTGATAAAAGGTCAAAGGAAAAGTTATTTATATGACAGCATACTACAGAGGCCATGAAGTAAAGCAAAAAGGCAAAAGCTAGTCCGAGATGTGACAGTCTGACCTGTGACCTTTGCACGTTAAGCGCTTCTCTCGGGTTTCAGCACATGAATGAAACAGACAGCCACAAGCAGCGTGACTTTTGGACTTTACCAATTCAAAGTCCACTGTTGTGCGATTGACAGATCAACCCTGTCTGGAGCCTCAAATAAAGCCGTAAGCCGTACTCGGACAGTGAAGAGCGGAAACAGCGCGGAACGCAAAATCACTCAAAAATGCCCTACTGTGGCTAATATCGTTCTTTTTCATATTAATTTTTTTTTAAATAAATGGCATAAGCTAATACAGCACAGATTTGTTGATAAACCAAGCATATTGATCATCCCGTCATTTGATTGGACAAGCCTTGAACATGCACATTGTGGCTACGTGCTGGAAATCACACAGCCATTTCAAGCTTTAACCCTTGAATGAGGAGCATGAGGAGCATCATTCATTCATTACACAACATGACGGCCAGTCGACTCGGTTATAAAGCGAATAGTGCTTTATATCGACTCTGCATTCATAAAAGAAAGGGTTTAGGACAATTTATGCAGGACACTTCTGTCTGGTTACTGATTAATCCAGGTGGCTAAAAGCTCCGGATTGATTGTAGAAAACTCAGCTGATAAATACAACGAGAAAGAGCCTTAGATGATGAGCTTAAATGCGATGCGATCTGTCAAAATTCCCGCGTTAATGTCATCTCAGGGTCAATGCAGTGAGTTGCACAACCCCTAAAAGGCCTGTGTTTGCAGCGGCATGTGATGGTGTCTAGTGAAGAGGAAACTGAATGAAATACGCACCGGTGTCTGGGTTGAGTTTGGCGTTATTTAATGTATTGGCGAGCTCTTCGATGCTCTTTTTATCGCCGTTCAGTTTCCAGTTGCCACCGACGAAAAACTTCCTGCTAGTCATGACTGCAAAATGTTGCTTTCACCAGAAAATTCTAGTTGTATGAAAAAGCGATATCCTCCGGACGAAGAGACAGCGAGGAGACACGGTCTGCTCGAGTTTATATAAGGCTGGCTGATAAGCCCCGCCCCCGGCGCTTTCGATTGGCTCAAGACAACACGCCTGCGAAAATTAATGTCCTTTGATCACAGTGGAGAAATCTGTTCATTTTCTAAAGATCACATAATGCCCAGCTGTGTTTTGAAAATGTTTTATTATTTTTTTCACTTATGACATTATACTTTTTCTATTATCTAAATTTGTAAACATGTCTTTTGTCATGTTGTCATTTAACTTTTTATGGTTATTTCTATCTTTTAATTGTATTTATTCATCTATTTCTTGTATGTTCATCCTGAAGTGCCCACTGCCTGTATTTGTACAATTTTAAAAGTGATAAAAATATATATTCATCTGCTTTCTGTAATATACTGGGGTGTGTTCAGCACAAATTAAAGAGAATCATATTCACATGGACTGACGCATATTAACGGAGTGCGGGCAATTCTGAATATTTTAAAATCATTTTTGTCTCATAATTGCACTTACAATCTATAACTTTTTAACAGCCAAGTGAAGTAGCAGAAACAAATCTACCATATTTAGCAGAGTCCGGTGGAGGGCGACATACTTGGGCATAGAAGGTCTTGGAGGTGGGACTAAATTTACATACCCACAATGCTTTTCGCCATGTGAAATATATAAAGATATTTTCCATTATTTTTAAGACATATAAAGAAGAATATTGCATGAAATTCACCAACATTTATAAATTAAATAGTAATTTCAATTCAGATACCAGTCTTTTGCATTTGTTTATCATTTATTTTGACTCAAATTATGTAGTCACCATAATCGATATGCCTGTCGAAAGTAGAGAAGGCGTTTCGTTAATGATGCCAGGATGGAAATTTGCTCTTTTACTATTTGTCCAGAAGGTTTTCTTTAAAAGGAAGCCCACCTTTTCTCAGTATAAAAAGAGATTGAAGATGGTGTGTGTAAATAGTAAACCCAGAATGACAAAGCTGAGTATGATGGTTTTATTATTAGGTATAATCAGATGTTGATCCACAAAATCTGCGGCAGCCTCATATTAATGACATTAGTATAATAATAGTCTAGTAGATCCATAAACATAATAATTTGTTACATTTAATACGATTTTAGTGTTTTATTACATGCATACAAAACACTTATAAATAATAAATAAATACCGAGACACATGAAAGTAAATGATAACAATAACGTAGTAATATATAGCCTACTTAGTAGAGACTTTGAAGGCATTCCTTATTTTTAGACGCTTAAAATGAAACTTTGAGAAACGCAAAACTTTGAGCAGGAAACGAAACAAGCACACAGACAATGTGCAACAGGGGATTAGTGCAGAGGGGTGTTTTATGAACACGTTTGTCAAAACTGTACAGTATTATGATTCCCGTTTGCGTTGAGAAACACTAGAGGGCAGTATTGTGACGCGGCTTCAGCATTTGTATCTAGACAATCTTCATTGTCAAAATGAACAATAATCAGAACTTCAGTTTATTACATGTGTCATTCGTTACATTTGCTGTTTTTATTTGTTTTATTTTATCGAAACCCAGACTTACGGACCAATAATGTTTCAATTATTCTGAATGAACCATTGCATCCTCATTTCGCGGGTCATTTTAGTGCTTTGAACTGAAATGCCACAAATATTGCGCAAGGCGTTTGCAAAAGCTGAAAGTAAAGGCCGAGAGCGCGGTTGACTGTGAATGGTGTGAGAGGTGGCGAGAGGAGGAGTAGCAGGAGTAGCAGGACGGAGTTAAGGAGTGCGTGGAGATCTCACGAGCTCCACACTCTCGCGGAAACACAACCGCAGCTACTTCCGCCCACACTAAAGATGGCGGCTCCCTTCATGGAGAAATTAGCTGAATCTTTAGGTTCACCCGAACCGGCGGTTCGATTGATGTTGTCAATCTTATTAGGTAAGTGAACGGCGCACATGTGAGATCTTTTAGGCTCTGGTGAGAGTTTGTAATGAGTGTCGTTAGGAGTCATTAAAAACGTGGACAGTTATGTGGTTGTGTAGTTGCACTAGAAGTGTGCTCAAGTCACACAGCTGTCCACCATGCTCTCAGCAACACTAACAACACGGAACCAACACCAACTCTCTCCATTCACACCGACTCTAGCCAAAATCAAAGGTCGACAAGGGTGACCTAAGTTACATGTCAGGCGAGATTTAATGGTTAACTGCACACAACTGCCGTGAATGTTCTGCCTAAAAGTACTTTCAGACTCGTTAGCCCTTAGTCTGACAGCTCTTTTTATTTTACTACTGAATTTTAGATGTTTGACCTACAGTTAGTTGTAACCTTTCAATGCAAATGAATTTGGGTTTCTAGGTATCAGGTTACACGTTGATAATAGAGGTGTGAGAGCAGATAGCAGGGTTCTCTGTACTTTGGCCAGGTGCATTGCAGTGAACTGCTTAACCACTTCAACCAGATGAATGAAATATGAGGCAGCTGAACCTGGATAATAGCGCCTGTTTGATCATTTGCATGATTTCAGCTCAAAGACTGTTACATTGCTGTCTTTAATGCGCCTGTAATGAATAAAGTGTCAATTAAGTTTTAACAATATGGATCTATGTAGCCTCAGAATGATGCCTACTAAACTTGTTGCAGATTTTCCAAGGCTTTTTTGCTTGATGCCTTTGATGCATGAGTCAATTTCTATTGTAAATCTGTAGTGAATAAAACCCTGAATTGTTTAAATATTTATTCATGCATGTATGGAAAAAATGAAATGCAGAACTTATGCGTCAGAGAATGAGGACTTACTACACACTAAAGTTAAAAGGCATCAGAGAACACTGAAAAACAGACCAGGGTTGCACAATATATTTTTACATGCTCACTTAAAGCAGAGTTTTTTATTAGTTAAACCGCATTAATTTTATTTCTAGTGTTTGTTGTAAAATATCATAGAATCTTAATATCGGTCAGTTAATGGTCATAAGATGGGAATAATCATCAACTTGTCAGTGTCATCCATAATTTTACTATTGGTACATCCCTAATTCTTTGCTTAAGATCACACTGCTGTAGGCATCCATTGAGAATTTCAGAGGTGTGTTCAGTTGTGCTTTCAGAAATCTTTTTATATATATATATATATATATATAAATATATAAATATATATATATATTCTAGTTTGACTTTTATCTGACCACACCCTCAAAACAGACCTTACACATTCCTATCTGTCAAGTGCTCTGTCAAAGCTTTCTCTACTGTGTTGCACCCTCAAAAGACAACTGTTATGTGCCATAATGTGTGTTAATTTGACCGTACAATTGCATCACATCATATGCCTAATCTGTTTCTCTCTGTTTTCCCTGTAGGTTATCCCTTTGCACTGGTGTACCGGTGGTTTTTATTTCATCAATCTGCAACAGTTGTTCATCTCTTCCACACATTCTCTGGGCTGGCGCTGGCCACGTTTAATTTTGGTGAGAGAGAGAAGGAAGCAGGGAAAGAAGATCTGATAACTAGTGTCTTTACACTTGTAACATGTTTAAGTTAGACCTACTAGCTTTTTTTTTTAGCAACATGGTACTGGTCATGATAACATGAATGTCAGTCTTAAGATCTATGACAGGGCTTGACAGCTAGCACTCAGTTGCCCACAGTTAGCGGCTGTTGGTCCATATTTAGACTGAAGCATTTCTACTGTAGTTCAGCCCCCCTAGTTTCCCTAATCTTGAACTTGCTTGGTTCACACACATTCGATTGCGTCTCATCTAATGACACAAAAGAGTTGAGTCTAACAGATAATGTCGGAAGCATTCTCAGTACTGAACAACATCAAAGCTGGTCTTTTTTCTCACCAGTCATCTTCTCAAATACGATCTGTAAATTTGTGCCCAAGTTCAAAACATTCTTCTCACTGAATGGGAGTTTTAAAAGGGAAGATTAACAATATTTGTTATGTAATATCACAGTTCTATTTCAGATTGGTTTTTGTTTCTTCTTATGTGGCTGATTTTGTTAAAGACATGATCTTCAGCAGATTTTTGTAAATGTTCTTTCTCAGTTTCCTAATTTGGAAACAATTGCTCTAAAATTCTTAAAATATTACACTACTGTTTAAAAGTTCTTTTTTATGTTTTTGAAAGACGTCTCATACTTATCACAGTACAGTAATATGAGTAATATGATTGTGAAATATTATTACAATTCAATTTAAAATAATTCCAATATGCTGTTTTGCTCCTATTATTATTGTTGTTGAAAACGGTCGTGCTACTTATTGTTTTTTTTTGTGGAAACTGATACATTTTTTTCAGGATTCTTTGATTAATATAAAGTTCAAAAGAACAGCATTTACTTGAAATAGAAATCTTTTTGTAGCAACGTAAAAGTCTTTACTGTTACTTTTGATCAATTCAATGCATCCTTGATTAAAAAAAGTTTTTGTTCCTTTCAAAGCAAAACACAACAAACAAAAAAGGAAAAGAAATACTGATCCCAGTCTTTTGAACAGTAGTACAGGTGCATCTCAATAAATTAGAATGTCGTGGAAAAGTTCATTTATTTCAGTAATTCAACTCAAATTGTGAAACTCGTGTATTAAATAAATTCAGTGCACACAGACTGAAGTAGTTTAAGTCTTTGGTTCTTTTAATTGTGATGATTTTGGCTCACATTTAACAAAAACCCACCAATTCACTATATCAACAAATTAGAATACTTCATAAGACCAATAAAAAAAAAACATTTTTAGTGAATTGTTGGCCTTCTGGAAAGTATGTTCATTTACTGTACATGTACTCAATACTTGGTAGGGGCTCCTTTTGCTTTAATTACTGCCTCAATTCGGCGTGGCATGGAGGTGATCAGTTTGTGGCACTGCTGAGGTGGTATGGAAGCCCAGGTTTCTTTGACAGTGGCCTTCAGCTCATCTGCATTTTTTGGTCTCTTGTTTCTCATTTTCCTCTTGACAATACCCCATAGATTCTCTATGGGGTTCAGGTCTGGTGAGTTTGCTGGCCAGTCAAGCACACCAACACCATGGTCATTTAACCAACTTTTGGTGCTTTTGGCAGTGTGGGCAGGTGCCAAATCCTGCTGGAAAATGAAATCAGCATCTTCAAAAAGCTGGTCAGCAGAAGGAAGCATGAAGTGCTCCAAAATTTCTTAGTAAACGGGTGCAGTGACGTTGGTTTTCAAAAAA